TATCTTGGCTAATATTGAATTAAAAGCATCATTTCTGTCTTTTCCCAAAAAACACTCATAAAAGACAGCCTCAGGGTTCTAAATATAACCGTGTGCATGGCTCAGCAGCTTTTGTTAAACAATAATTCACAATGAAACTGACGAGTTGCCCTTGCCCTATTTTATCCCAAGTTTATATTATAGATGAGCCAATAATGTAGTCATTCCAAAATTTCCCTTTTCAGGTCTTTAGATGTAGCTGTCTCTCAGGTGCAGTTCTCAATTGTGGCCATTGTGTGGCAGAGTAACTTTTCACCTGGTAATCAGATCAATGATGGGGACATGGTCAGAAGCCCAAGAGTCCCAGAGGTCTAGCAACAGACTGACCAGGCAACGTGCTTAAGCAGAATGTTTCTTATAGTTTGTGACATGGTGGCATACTGCACCAAAGGCAGTGACATTTAAAACATTAAGTTGTTCATATTCCATATTATAATTACCTATATATATAATAATTCCTATATATATATACACAGCTAAGCTCTTAAAGGCAGGCAATGATTTAATTGAATCAGAGCATAGAGCAATTTCTATCACAGGGCATCGTCAAAAACAGTAGAGAGGCACCTGGGTGGCACAGTCGGTTAAGTGTCCGACTCTTGGTTTCAGCTCAGGTCATGATCAGGATTGTGAGACCGAGTTCTGAATCAGGCTCCACACTCAGCGTAGAGTCTGCTTAAGAGTCTCTCTCCCTCTACCTGTGCCCCTTCTGCTCGTTCTCTCTCCCCCACGCCGGTAAGAAGATAAATAAAGAAATCTTTAAACACAAACAGTAGAACAATTTACCAGCAATTAATGGAGCCCAAGATCTAGGTGTGTGATACCTGCAGAGGCCACCAGCTTAATAAAAGATCAGGAGGAAAAAAAAGAAAATAAATAAATAAATAATCGATCGATCAGGGAAAGAGTCAAAGAGAGTCCTGCTAAAACTACTGTCCTCACAAGGTGACTGAGCACCAGACCCTTCACATTCCAGGGGAAACAGACATCACTAGAATAACCCAGCCAAGTCACTAAACAAATCAACAACAACAAAAGCAAATGGGGGTAAGGGCTGTCTGTATTCAGGATTGCTATGCTATAATACCTAAAACGTCCAGTCTTCAATAAAAAATTATGAGACACACAAAAACACCAGAAAATGTGAACTAAACATAGAATAAAAGCAGGAAAAGAAACTGCCAGTGAGAGGAAACAGGTGTCAGATTTAATAGACACAGACTTCAAGGCAGCCATAATATATGCAGGATGATCAAAGAAATAGAGAAAACATGCTTTAAGAAGTAAAGGGAGGTATAATAATAATGTCTCATCAAATAGAGAGTATCAACAAAGAGACAGAAATAATTTTTTTAAAGGACCAAATGGACCCTATCAAGAAAGTGAAAAGAAAGCCCTCGAAAAGGGGTAAAACTTCTTCAGCTCAGATAACTGGTAAGAGAACTGAATCTAGAATATATAAAGAACTACTGCTCAATAAGAAGAAGACAATTAATCCACTTAAAAATGGGCAAAGGGGGGCGCCTGGGTGGCTCAGTGGGTTAAAAATGGGCAAAGGATCTGCAAAAACAGTTCTCCAAGGAAGACTTACAAATGACCAATAAGCACGCTGAATAATGTTCAGCACCATTAGTCACTAGGGAAATGCAAATCAAAACCACAAGACGCTACTTCCCACCCATGAGGTTGGCTCTAATCAGAGACAGACAAGTGTTGGTGAGGAAGGGGAGAGATCAGAGCCCTCACATAGGGCTGCTGACACCATAAAATGGTGTAGCCAATTTTGGAAAACAGTCTGTTTTGTTCCTCAAAAAGTTAAATACAGGTGTGCCTGCGTGGCTCAGTAGATGAAGGGTCTGCCTTCGGCTCAGGTCATGATACCTGGGTCCTGGGATCGAGCACCATGTCAGGCTCTCTACTCGGTGGGGAGTCTTCTTCTCCATCCTCCCCACCCCCCAACTTGTGCCCTCTCTCATCTCTTTCTCAAATAAATAAAATCTTTTTAAAAAAGGTTAAATATAGAGTCACCACATTACACAACAATTACACTCTTAGGTATATATATCCAAGAGAAATGAAAACATATGGCCACACAGAAACTTGTATATGAATGTTGGTGGCAGCATTATTTATAAGAGCCTAAGATTTTTAATCTGATGATGTCCAATTTATTTTTTCCTGTGCACCTGGACTTGTTTACCTTGAGGGAACTTGGGTATCTGCCTCTGTGTGCAGCCACTTCTCCTCTAGGGCTCTGATGCCAGGAAAACAGACCTTGTAGGGGAAAGCGGAAGTGGCCACTGAGTACTAGAAAAAATGATTCAGCAGGCCAAGTAACAGACCAGCTGCTCCAGTGGGAACGGGAATGCTGAACTCCCTTAGCTCCACTTCAGGAGGGAACGGGAAACCCTCTGAGAAAGTCCTGTTCAGAAGGTGCCGCTCCTAGTGGGGTAAGGGTGTCTCTCCCCTCCACATAGAAGCATGGGGGAAGCTGCAGGTCCTGCTTCCTATCATGATGTGGCATCACCCATGGATCCACAAACACTGGAAAATAAAACCTAAAACAAGATAGCAGACTAGAAATTGAAGACTACTACTTAAAAAGTTCATATTCCTGAGGCATCTGGGTGGGAGAGTCAGTTGAGCATCCGACTCTTGGCTTTGGCTCTGGTTGTGAGAGCTCTGGTCCTGCTCTCAGGGTCGTGAGATAAAGCCCTGTGCCGAGCCCTGCATGGGGCTCTGCACTTAGCACGGAGTCTGCTTAAGATTCTCTCTCCCTCTCCCTCTTCCCCTCCCCTTGCTCACCTGTGCTTTCTCTCACTTTCTCTCTCTCAAATGAATAAATAAATCTTAAAAAAAAAAAAAGTTTAGGGATGCCCGGGTGGTTCAGTCAGTTAAGACTTCACCTTTGGCTCAGGTCATTTCCCAGGGTCCTAGGATCAAGTCCTGCATCGGGCTCCCTGCTTGCAGGGAACCTGCCTCTCCCTTTCCCTCTGCTACCCGCCCCCCCCCCCACCAACTGCTTGTGCTCTCTCACTCTCTGTCTCAAGTAAATAAACAAAAAAAAACTTAAAAAAAAAAAAAAAGTTATACTCTTCCAATTCAATGCAAGAAAGCCAAAACTTCGCCAACAAATTCCTTTCTCAGAAGCTGATTTCAACAATCAGTCTCATTAGCATTCCAGGGGAAAGACTAGTAGAACCACAGAAAAAGGAAAAATAGGAGGTTTTCATAACAAATGTTCATGATAGTTTCAGAGTAAATAAAGTATTTATTACAGAGAAGGAAACTGCTGGGTAGAGAAGTTAGTAAGAAACTGCATAGGAAAAATGTAAAATTCCTGAAAATATTTCAAGGTCATCTCTCAATTTTGTAATTGGAACCAGCTTCATGAGTCTGTTTTCATGGCTGCTGCCCTTGTGATAATAAGCACTCCCGCGGGTTATGTGTTCACTCCGCGCCATGCCCTGTGCTAGGCCTCGTCCATATGTTGCCCCACTTAATCTTCATCTGCAGCTAGAGTGCACACACAGGTCCTCAAGAGTTTTCCAGAAGTCCCTGCTCTGCCCTGTAGCTCTGAAGCCCTTCTAACCCCTCACTCTTCTGGGAGGTGTTGCAGAACGCGGTTGCTTTTAAGCCAATCTCCACACAAAGGATTCAAGTTTTTCAGTCCTATTACAGAGGTTTTCTAGATTACTGATTCATCCAAACCAATATTAATTATCTACTGTTTTCCAGAGACTGTTCCATGCATGCACATTACAAAAATAAAAGATATGGTACTCGCCCCAAGACGGTGAAGAAAACAGAGAGATTCAATAGAACAAAATGCTAGGGGAGCTCAGGAGAGTGGGCAATCATGGAAGACGTCCTGAAGGAGGTGATATTTAAGCTGAACTTGAAAGGCTGACTAGACATTAGAAAAAAGGGGGGAAAGGTATGCTGAGTGCAAGAACAGCATGTGCAAAGATACACAGATAGGAGAGCATGGCCCAGTCAGGAAATAACAAATAGCAGATCACTGCTGAAAGGTTCAGTGCCAGGGGTAAGAGAGATAAGGAGGTCAGTGGGATTCATCACCAAGGGTCATGCTAAGAAGACTGGAGCTGACTCAAATGAGAATAGAAAACCACACAACTAGGCCTACATCCAATTCACAGTTCTCTGCTACGAGACTGATGTTCACCCACCAGGCCCGGACACACATGCCCCACATTCAAGGTTCTTCACATGCTGTCCGCACAAATACCCCCGACACCGCCTCCTCTACCCCATACAGGCTTTGGATCTTGTGGGTCCTGATCTTTCTTCCATCCAACCCTTTACAGACCACCTGCATTTTCATCTCAGCCTGATTTGAAATGCTGATTGGCTCCACAGCTCCCGTGTAGACTTGTACTTGATGTTTAACAGCAGCAGAGGGCAGAAGAGGCCCATGAATATTTTTGAGTTCCTGCATTTCCAACAAGTTCTCGGGTGACTCCAGTGCCGCTGGCCCACAGAGCACGCTTTCAGTTGTGGAACAGCCTCTTGCGTACTATCTGAGGTCAAAGATCTCTTTTTCTAAATTTCTAATCTGTGGCAGACCAATATTTTCAGAAAATAAAATAAAAATAAATTACAAGGAAAATGAAAAATTTAAGAGACACACAAAATAGAAGTCTCAACTTTGTCTTATTGGAGTCAATAAATACAATATTTCAAAGGCCAAATTACACAGGTTGGCCGCGCTCTCCCATCATTTCCTTCCCCGAACACAACTCCAATTGCAGCAACATAAGAAATCATGGCATGCTCATAATCAGGTGTAAGCTCTACCTGCGATTTTACTGGCAAAGGAGGGGCTGTACTAGAAGAATGCGAAGAATTTGTTCTGGGGCTTTGTGAATATATACTTTGTGAAATGGAGCTGATGTAAGACAGCTTTTGACAGACAGAGTCCCACACATCCGACCACCTACCTTGCCACTCTTCCCCGCAGGTCTCCCAAACCTGAGAGCTGACGCATCTCCAAGGTCTTTAAGGCGGAATTCGTTCCATAGCTGATGTTGTCCCGGGCCCGGATCTGCTCCTGCAGTACCTGAGCAACACAAAAAACCACCAAGAAGGTTGTCTGAGATGTACGTGCTGCCAAAAAAGCATTTTCTATTTTTGGCAAAAATAAGACCATTTAACTCCATTCATAGGAGGCTTCTTTTTAACAGCCACAGGATATATATGTGTACAGAGAACCAGGGGCTCAGAGAGACCTCAGAGCTCTCACACAGACCCAGTCCCTTCATCTGCTACTAAAAACCCTGAGACTTCGGGCACCTGGGTGGCTCAGTCGGTTAAGCGTCTACCTTTAGCTTGAGTCATGATCCCAGAGTCCTGGAACTGAGCCCTGCATCAGGTTCCCTGCTGCACCTCCCCCGCCTTTAGCCACTCCTCTTGCTTGTGCTCTCTTGCTCTCTCAAAGAAATAAATAACATCTTAAAAAAAAACAAAAACAAAAAACCTGAGACTTGGATGTCAGGTGACTTGGTGGAGCCCACCACCCCCCAACTCCCCCGTGCTGCTGCAGGACGGGGCAAAGGTCAGACTAGAACTCAGACCCTGGACATTTGCTCTACAGTTCAGAGCTCTTTATACCAACCAGGCTATTTTTCAATAGTCACTGCTTTAAGTGAACACTCCCTAAATCTACCAAGAAGCAATAAATGAAGAGCAAGCAGAGACAGGGATGGGCAGGGGTTGTCAGACAAACAGGTCCAAATTCAGCTCCTCTCGCTGTGTGGCGATCCTGGGCAAGTGTGCAAAGTTCTAGCTTCCTTTTCCTCATCGGTTCATAGTAATGGTGATTGTACTCTTCAGGGCACGGTGAACGTTACATGAGCTAATGCATAGGAAGCACTTGCAATGCCCAGCGTGCCCCAAAGACAGCAAATGCTTATCTCCTTCTAGTACTTATCTGAGAACAGTACTGGTGCTGCAAAGGCAGAATGATGTCTCTTAGATAAGCATTAAATGAAAGGAGAGCTGCTTGAACACCAGGTGGCCCAGCGGAAGCACGGCCTCGTGGGACATCCATACTGGGAATGCCTCTAAGGAGTGGTGGCAATGCAGATGGGGAGGTCACCCTGTTGTTTACTGAGCATGGACCAGAAAGAGGAGCCTGGTGCTGCCCTGCACAGTGCCATGCGCCAAAGCAAATCCATACTCTCAGGAGCCCCGTGTGACAGGACAGGACCGAGGCATAAGCAGCTGCTCCGCTACAAAGTCCCACGGACGGAAGTGATCAGCCAGCACTGACCCAGCAACCAGGCTCCAGAACCTACACTGTAACACATGCTGCCTTGCTGCCCGCCCAGAATAGGAAAGAGATTGGTCTGAAGCACGACAGACAGACGGACGGATAGACTGGAGAACCCGAGTCCTAGGTCGCAGGAGACCTCACAAAAGCACAAGTTATATCCGACATTTCTTCTATTTCCTTGTTCTTTCGTGCATGCCTTCCTTCCTGTCCTGCCCTTCTCCACTTTTATTCCGCCCCTCAGGCCACCCTCACCGCCACCACTTTCCCTCCCCTTTGCAAAGAAGAAGCTCTTGATTTCTTGTATCTTTTCCCTTTCAACCATTTAATCATGTTCATCTACTTGATTAATGTCAGCTTCATACTTTTACATTCTTCTTGCTTCCTTTTGGGTCTACTCGCTCTTCTAGAAATTTCCCAAGATGAGCATTGAGTTCCTTTATTTAGATGATGTCTTCCTTCAGAATGAAGACTTGACTTAGAACAGTATTTGCTGTGTCCTCAGGTTGGGTGTGAAGTGCTTTCCTTCTTACGGTTTTCAGCTCTGAATTCCTCTTTGATCTAAAGATATTGAGGTATCTAGGGATTGGAGTTGTGTTTTTTCATTGTCAAGCAGTTAAGTTTTTTGGTCATTTTTCTCACTTATTTCTACATTACTGGCTGAGGATCAAAAATATGGTCTGTGATATATTTAGTTTTTTTAATATATTAGAATTTGCTTTGTGACACATGTTACTAAATGTTGCACGCAAAAAACTACTGAAGGAACAAACGGTTCAATATTGTCTATTAGATTGAGTTTGCTGATTCCACTACTCACTCTCTCTAGATTTTATTTATTTTTGGTAGATCTCTCCATCTGTGAAAGACGGTTTATGAATTCTCCCCTTGTAAAATATTTTCATCAAGGTCTCCTTACATTTTTAACACTTTTCATCTTATGTCTTTAGCTGCCATCTTATTTGGCACATACAGATTTGTGATCAAAGTGGCCTGACCATTACACGATCACCTTCTCTTCTGATGTAGTGCTCATAATGCTGTTTCTTTTCACCTAATATTAACATTGCAACTATGCTGTGTAAATAATAGGGCAAACACCTGCTTGGTCTAACTGTACACCGGGCACTATTCTGCACTCTGTAGGCATGTTCACCCATTTAATCCTCACATAGTACCCTCTGAAACAGGTGCCATTATTACCTCCGTTTCACAGGAGGTGAAATCTCTAAGATATTAAGTAGCTTGCCCAAAGCCACCGTCAGTAAGCATCTGAACTGGGATTTGAACTGGGGACTCTGGCTCCACAGACTGCTGTCAATCATGACACTGCCCTTGGCTTGTGTTTTCCTTCAACGTTTCATCTCACTTTATATAGATAATTTATGTTGCTTCTTGTTGCTTCCTCACTCCTTTTCCTTATTTTGACCAGCTTAATCAGGTTACCATTCATCGTCCTCCCTCCCCTTGTGAACTGGGGAATGTTCATGGCCATTGCTATTCCATGAATGGTTCCCTTCCCTTCTCCACGTCCATAACCACACACGTCCACCCCAGGCTCTGCTCCTGCGTGGCTCCCCTCTCCTCCGCGTGAGACACTCAACACACCTCATGCCCACCCTTCTTCAACCTCCAACCCAGATGGCTTATTGGGAAGGATTTTACTTTTCTTCCCCAAATCAGCTTTGCTAAAATAACTCAGGACTTCTAGTTGGGTTATAATTAGAATTTTCCTTGTAAAATGTCACTTCTATTTCAACAATTTTTTCTCTTTCTTTCAGTGGTTCTGTTACCCAGTCCCAGGCATCCTTCAATATCCATTTACATGAAATACTACAGGTCTTGTGGATCACTGACTACCTTTGTGCTTCTCCTTTTCATTTTCTCCTACCTTAGGGTCTCTGTGTAAATCCCTAACACTTTCCTCAGATCAGGCGTTTGGATGAAGACGGAATTCCTGCCAAGTTGACAACCTTCCTTCTCTCACCCTGGAGGGTGGGGATCAATTGAAAGGGTATGGAATTCTTGACTTCAAGGACTTTCCTCCCAGTGAACTTAGAGGCTGACCAGTCTGGTGCTTTTTCCTCTGTACATTTCTCAGCTCCTTATACTTAGAAGTTTGTAAGATTTTGTTCTTCTATTTTGGAGTTCAGTTTTACCAGGATGTAGCTAATTGTGGATTTTTTTTTTTTTTATTTCAATTCTACCTGGAAGTCAGTGAAATCTTCAACCTGTAGTCTCAGATTATTCTCCTATGTAGCTATTGTTTCTTCTCCATCTGTTTCTTTGTCTCCTTCTGGAACTCCATTATTCACATGCCCTAGATCTGTCCCCCAGTCTTCTATCTTTCCCCTCATGGTTTCTCTTTGTATTTGACTCTGATGTCCGAACATCTCTTCTATTGTGCCTTGTGGGCAACTAATTCAATTCATGAAAGTAATCATTCACTGACTTTTAAAAGTTTAAGTTCGAGGGAGAAATTTTATGCTGTACCCAGATCTTCTAAGCGTCCTGTGTTAGTCAGCTGGGGCTACAAGAACAAAATGCCACAGACTGAGTGGCCTATGAACCACAAAGATCTATTCGAAGTTCTAAGACTGGGAAATCTGGTCTGTTCCCGGGGGATGGGTGGGGAGGCCTTTCCTTGGCTTGCAGATGGCTGTGTGCCTTCCTTCTCACTGTGTCCTCACAGTGGAAAAACAAAGCACATGAGCAAGCAAACAAATAAAAAGCAGAAATAGACCCGTAAGTAAAGACCAAACTGATGGTTGCCACCGGGGAGGGGTGGGGGATGGGCAAAAGGGGATGAAGGGGAGTGGGAGGCACAGGCTTCCAGGTACGGAATGAGGATGTCAGGAAAATAAAAGGCACAGCCTTGAGAATACAGTCAATGACACTGTAATAGCACTGCGTGGTGACAGTGGGTAGCCACACTTGTGGTGCACACAGCACAACATAGAGACTTGGGCACAGATGTATCTAAGTTGTTTCTGTGCTGCCTTTTCTCAACTATTCTTTTTTAAGTATGCAGACAACTGCACTCACATACATTTTTTAGGATTTTCAAACTCCCTGGTAAAAAGCAGAAATTAGCAATGGGAGGCCTTTGTGTCTTCCTTATTGGAAACCAGTTGGAGCCTGTATAGATGAGAGTAACAGTAATATGGAATATTTCACTGAAAGGAATTTGGAACTGCTAGACCTGTTATTTGCTATAGTTTCCAGCTTTTTCTGAATGAAGAAAGCTCTATTAAGAAGAATGCAAACCAGCTACAATACCTGTGAATGACAAAACGTTAGTCATCTGAACACATTCTTGTAAGAAAACTTCAGATCTGACTAATCTGGTTCTGACACTCTCCCACTGATGAAAAGGCGCTGGTGTTCCCTTTTCATAGGAAGTAACACTTATTCGTTACAGTTTATAGAAAGTATTTTTTATATGTAATGCTTCAAACCTTTATTGTAACACTCAAGACCAGGGGTTCTTAAGCATTTTTAGGGTGCATAAGAATCCCCAGGTGGCGGGGCACCTGGGTGGCTCAGTGGGTTAAAGTCTCTGCCTTCAGCTCGGGTCATGATCCCAGCGTCCTGGGATCGAGCCCCACATCGGGCTCCCTGCTCAGTGGAGAGACTGCTTCTCCCTCTCCCTCTGCCTGCTGCTCTACCTACTTGTGTTCTCTGTATCTCTGACAAATAAATAAACAAAATCTTGAAAGGAAAAATGACAAAGGCTATAACCAATCTTACTTCGTCTGAGTTGTCTCTCAATCAAGAAATCACTAAGC